AAGAAATACGTCAGTCATTCATTGATGTTAATGATAAGAATTTCAATTAAAAAAAAGAAGAAAAAAAGATGGCATTATTATTTCTGTATTGTGTTATATTTTTATGTTAGTAAGTGGTGTTAAAAATTGCTCGAGCTGGTGGGTTTATGGTGTGGTGGGCTGCTCTGTGCCAGAAAGTCCAGGGCCACATTTTAGCCCCAGTCTACCCCTGCATACAAACACAAAACAGCATCAGTATCACACATAGCACTAATTAATGCTAAACTAATAACTAAAAATACAAAATAGAATCAAATGTCACGGTATGTGCAGGGAATTCTGGGAATGCCCAATAAATGATAAATATGTGCGGGGAATTCTGGGAATGCCCAATAAATGATAAAACTTTACCTTTATTAGTTTGCTCACCAAGACTGCATCAAAAATTCAGAAAAAAACTCTAATATTGTGAAATATTATTACAATTTAATATATCTGTTTTCTATTTGAATATATTTTCATTTATTATTTTGATGGCAAATTGAATTTTCAGCAGAATTAAACAATAATACTTTTATTCAGGAAGGACACATTAAGTTTATCAAAAGTGTCATTTATTACGTTAGAAGATTTCTATTAAATGCTGCTCTTTTGAACTTTCATCATGCATCATGTTTTTTTTTCCACAAAAATATTAATTAGCAAAATCTGTTTTGAACTTTGATACTAAGAACTATTTTTAATAGTTTTAATAATTTTTAATTTGTGAAGGATCATGTGACACTGAAGACTGCAGTAATAGCTTCTGAAAATTCACCTTTGCCATCAAAGGAATAAATGAAATTTTTAAATAGAAATAGTTATTTTAAATTATAATACTGTTTCATAATATTACTGTTTTTACTATATTTCTGATCAAATAAGTGCAGCCTTGCTGACTTTAAGACTTCTTTCAAAAACATTAAAAATCATTATTATTCTAAACTGTTGACTGGTAGTCAAAAAGTAAAATTTAAATGTTATTATTATATTTATTTAAAGTGTATTGTAACATAACACTACATATATTGAATATTTTAATATTTTAATTCTAAGGTCATTTATAATTGTGCCACATTTATACTGCACCAACCACTTTCACAACGTGTACCTTTTTTTTGTGTGTGCACCCAGTGAAGATTCCAGACACATTCATATAAATTACAAGTCACTTCCTCAACTGTGTATTAACCCAAAACAACCCTAGGCTCATGCAACACTAAACTTATGCTTTTAAAACCATTTTATTGTCATTGGATGGTTTATGCAAGTCTCTGAATGTGTTTTGTCTTCTTTCAGCATATACCTGGTGACAGTCACATCTCAGGCGGTGGGTGGCAGCACAGAGACTCTCTGTGCGCATATCCATGAGCCCAAAGAGACACTTTCTATAGTGGTGACTTTGAGCACTAACAATCTCGATCTGACCATTCTACAACAGGGCTTCATTAAAAATGATTTCTACGAATGTGTTCCTTTTAAGGTCAGTGTACTCAATATACTGTCGCATAGCTCTTTCCTATACATGTGTGCACAAAATGTATAACGTGCCATTAAGGTTAAAGGGCCTTTCCATAATAAGACATATTAATTTGCAAGTAAAACCCTAAAACTTACATTTATCATTCATCTTGCATATATTTTCCACTACTAAATTGTTCAGCGATCACACTGTAGTCTTGATGTTGCTTTCAAACCTATAGTCTGCAGTCTGTAAGTGGAGTTATACGCTCAATATTTTCTTGATTTGTATTTTTCAGGTCCCTGTAGTCACTGTAGAGTCTGTGGCATCCGTCAATGTTGCAATCCAAGGGGCCGAAACATCCCTGAAGAAAACCACTCAGATCCTCATAAAACCCCCCCAAAATCTTCTTTTCATCCAATCAGACAAGCCTATCTATAAGCCTGGACAAACAAGTAATGTCTTTGTAAATTCTTCTAAAACGTTGTCAGTGTTCGTTTGTTCTTATTAATGCGAGCCTGCGAGT